GCACATGTCCGCTGCTGACAAAGGGTTGTACTTTGGCGAGTAAAATACCATAATAGAAAGTATTTGAGAGTATAAGAGAGAGTACTTTGTAGGGTCTCGAAAAAGACAAGACAACTTGTTCTTCAACTGCTTGGTTGTAAGAAGGGATGCTATCGCCTTGTAAGAATGTTTTACAGTCGTTCTACTTTAAGTACAGAGGAAGAGAAGATTGATTCAGCTTCTCCTTTATTTAACGTGGGTTTGACTTGATTTTTATTCTGAAAACAAGAGAGGACTAAAAGAACTCAATTAGATAATAAACAAAGAAGTCACTTAGATAACAAACATTTATGACTAAAAATAGCTTCTTTTTTTCTTTTTTTTTTTATTGTACGAATAATCCAAATCCATTTGTCGCATTATAAGACATTTTAGTTGCGCTACTCTATTTAAAAGCGTAGTTGGACAGATTTATAAGAAGCAAATAAGCAAGTTTTAACAAAACATTAATGCCTCAGGGACCCAAATAGGGGACCTAATGCATGGGACATGTGAGGTATCACCATCCGATTGCATGATCCACTATTCATGAACAGTGGATCATGCAACCGGGTGGTGACATCTCACCTGTCTCATGCCTTGAGTCCCCTATTTGGGTCCTTGTAGCAACACCCTTTAACAAAAATAGGTTATGGTCAGATTTCAAACAGCTTTACTATTCTATCAGTCATAACAGTCGATAATATCTTAAATTCTTATGGGCCGTTTTAATAGGGACCGCTTTCGTTATATAACTATACTCATATCATGATAAAGTTCAACAATTTTTCATTAATTACTTTATCTTGCCAAGACAGAGTGAGGCGAGACTAGGCCTGTCCATCCGGGCCCGGGCCGGGCAAAACCGGAGCCCGGACCCGGGTACCCTGGGCCGGGTCCGGACCCGGGCCAGAGCCCGACCGGGCCGGGTTCCGGGCCGGCCCGGTTTATTTTTTTTAATTCTATTTAAAATTTAAATTATACAAAAAAACAAAAAAATTAATAAAAACAATAATTTGATTAATCACTTAAAATGACATAAATTACAAATAAAAAATTATAAAAATATATTCTTTATTAATAATTAATAAATCATTTATAAATTATAAGTATAAATTTATTTTGGAATTCATCGCATCATAATAGATAAGTACATCCCAACTAGGTTGGCACCTACTCACCTATATCACTATCATTTGTAACTATTTCCAAAATAATTCTTTACAAATTTTAAGCTAAGATATAAAAATTACAATTTGATGAATATTATTTATTCTTTATATCTATCTGCTAGTCCTAATTCTTCAAATTTATCTTCAATTCCAGCCATCCGATCGATGTCTTGCGTTCGCTTCTCGTACCTCCACCAATCTTGTAAGCACATCACCGCTTGTACAGTATACGGATCTAAGCATGTCCTGTGGTCGTCGATCAAACGTCCTGCTGTGCTGAAGATGGATTCCGAAGCTACCGTCGAAACCTGCACTGTTATTAAGTCACGAACCATGGTGGAAAGTATAGGATATGAAACCGATCCATATACTTTCCACCATTGCAAAATATCTAAAGCATTTCCTTGACATTTAACTAAAGAAACAGATAAATATTCATCTATTTCAGAAACCTCTAATGATGACGATCTAAGTCCAGATCCACCAGTTAGCTCAGCTACCATTGCATACCTATCAAAACTTACATTTTTACCTCGGGATAAGCTCGAAGAAACCGAAGCTGTAGACTGTTGTGTAGCGACACCATGTCTAGCTTCATACTCATCATATAAGGTTTGGAAATAATTTCTAATAGCTAAATGATGAGTAGTAGCAGTAAGGGTGGTTCCACCATCTAAGTATATAATCTGATTACCATACAATGATTGTAACAAACTTCTAAGGCCAATATCCTTCAAGCATGTATCAATAAGAACCCCCAAACCAAAAATATGATGAATAGGCCTAAAGTACTTATTAAATTTGCTCTCCATTTGAAAAATCATAGATCCTAAAGTATCATCCATACGATATTTCCCAAAAAAAAATTGAATATTTAAAATTTGTAAAGCAGCTAAAGTAATGATTGGATAATAACAGCCAGATAATAACATTGTAGCATCATAAAAAACTTATAACATTTCATTTAAATTACATATAATTGTCCATTCATCTTCAGTTATTCCATAAGTGCTACCAGAACTAGAACTAGAAGCATAATAATTTATAAAATCAGTTATAATGTCTTTATATTCTATTACTACACTTAACATTGCATAGGTGGAATTCCACCTATGGTTAACATCTTTTGAAATTAGTCTGAGCTTTATATTTTTTTCTTTTATAAAATTATTTCCATCTTTTAAGTCTTTGTTCAGAAGCATTATGCATATAAGCAACTATTCTAACATTTTCTATCATGGGTTTAATTTTAGTAAATGCACTTTGAACAATTAAATTTAAAATATGACAGATACACCTAATATAAAAAGATCACCATGACATGGCAATGATAGAGTTGATCCAATAAAATCAAAAGCTACATTGTTATTACTTGCATTATCTAGTGAAAGAGAAAATATTCTTTCATAAGTTCTTCAATTATTAAATTTGCAACATTAGCACCAGTATGTGACTCTTCTATTGCAATAAAAGAAACAACTCTTTTAAACATTTGCCAATTTTCATCAATCCAGTGTGCTGTGATACATAAATATCCAGTTTGTGCTCTAGATGTCCAAACATCAGAAGTTAAAGAAAATTTATAGTTTAAATTTTTAAAATAAGAAATTATTTTTCCTTATTCCTCCTGATAATATTTTAAAATATCACGTTGACAGGTTTGACGAGAAAATATTTTAAATGCAGGATAAAAACCATCTCTAAACATATCTTCAAATTCATCATCTTCTACTAATTTAAAAGGAATGATTTTAAGAATGATAAACCTGATTACGCATTTCCTGGCTCTGGCAGCGTTATAGTTCCAACTACCGAGACTACCAGAAGAGGATGATTGAGAAATCATAGATTGTCGGATATCACCTTGAGGAGTCTGGCCTTTGTTGTGTTTATCTAAATGACGTTTGAGGTGGTTGGTGTCGTTCTTATGATGAGCTTAAAAAATCTTGCCGCACAACGCACACTTAGCCTTCTGAGTGAGGATCCTACCGTCCGCACAACGCACACTTAGCCTTCTGAGTGAGGATCCTACCGTGTTCATCCTTGGTGACGTCGATCTTCTAGTAAAAATTCCACACATCGGATCTTTTGGTGACGTCGATCTTCTAGTAAAAATTCCACACATCGGATCTTGGCCTTTTAGGAGCTCTTGGTGCAGATTCGTCGCCACCGGATTTGGGATTAACATCGGTAGGAGTAGACCCAGTTGGAGGACTCATTTCAAGATCGGGAGATAGGTTTTGCTCTTTATAATCAGATCCGGAAGTCATTTGATGAAAGGATTAGAAAGTATAAGAGAGTATAAGAGTATAAGAGAGAAGTAGATGAGTTTTGGTGTGAAGAAAACAAATGAAAACCCCCCTCTATTTATAGAGCCAGCCCCCTAAACAAATGATCAAAATAACCTCACAAAATAGTCGTTTTTTGACCGTTTTTCCTAGGCGAGACCCCTTTACCTTAGATTAAAATAATTTTTCATTATTTATTTAAGCATCCATGTCATAACAATATACTGATTTATAGATAAATTAAGATGAGAAATTTGGGTTTTTTTAATATCTAGGCATAGTGAAGAGAACTGGAATCCCTTTCCCGGGTTATTTGCATAATACCCCTTGAATCATGAATATTTGCAAAAATACCCACATATCTTAGTATTTGCAAAACTGCCCCTCAAATCATTAACTTAGGGGGGGGGGGAATACCTCTAAATCAACAAATCATCAACTTGATGATAAAATTTTGACTATTTTATTGATAATTTTTACATTGTAATTACTAATTAGCTTATCAAAGTTGATGATTAATTGTTTTGATTAATGATTTGGGTGTAGTTCTACAAATACTGAGACTTGTAGAGTATTTTTGTAATTACCTATGATATAAGATGCATATATGCAAATAACCCTAAATAAAAATTAAAAAAATAGATGGAAACCACAAACTAATATGATTCTTTGCAAGAAATAGATGGGTTTCCAAATTTATGACTTTAATCTTGAAATGTTCTTGACATATAAGAAAAGTTTGTACAAGGGTAAAAGATGTATGGTGCTTTGAGTACATACACTGCGCATTAGTTGATTGGGTTTCGATGTGTGTATATTGACTATTCTCTTTGAAAGCGGAAGAGAGGACTTGAAGGGTGTCCCTTTAAATTGCACTTTGTGTTGTTACTAGCAAGATTAAAGATTTTTATGCCTCTTTAAGTTTAGCTGAGCTAATGGGAGATCCAGTACTGAACGATTATGCTTGCTGCCTCATACAATACCTTTAGCATATACCCTTTTAATCTCAACATAATGAAAGGAAAAGTTAAATCTGTGGACATTTCCCTTGCAGAACATCATTGATCAAAAAAACAAATTCCTTTACTAAAAGCTTCAAAAGCCCAAGCTGCAAATCCTGATCACTCTTCAAGATATGGAGCTCCCTCCAGAATCTGTTGGCGGAGGCTGCCATATCTGAATCACAACGTATTTGAACAAGTTCTTGCAAGGACAAATAGACTAACGTATTTTTTCATAAGGGTTGAGCAAAGAAAATTGTACAAATTCTCCACAAAAATATTTCAATAAGTTCGATAAAGTCATAAAGTTCAGGATCAACTACATATACATCAGAACAAAGGTGACAGTAAGTTGGCAGTACGACAGCGGATGGTCTTATGCATCCCCTTTCGATCATTCACCCAATTTCCTTACCAGTTCTGAAAGATATATTGCCAAAAACACATATTTGAATACTGTTCTCCTGAAGAGAGGAGCAGCAGACCAGCTCAATGAAAGCCAATCAATCAAGACAAAGATGAATTGTCACGGGGAATTTCTCTCAAGAGGGATTACCTGTGGCATCCAATATATAACAAAATATGTCAAAAGTTAAAGAGGTTTTTAAACATGTTAGAATGGATGGTAACACAACATCGGCAGGATGCAGGTGCATACTCAGAGACTCATACATAGAAATTCGACACACTTCGAATGTTTTTCTGACACCAACTGCTACAAACTAGAAATACAAACTAAATTAAAATTAGACATACAGCTATGTATGGCTTGATATTTATGATTCAGGCATTAACAGGTGAAGCCTTGGGTTGATGCTGCCCATCATCAAAGTTTACAGAGTGCCGATTGTCCTTGAAGCCGTCATTCTCTGCAGGCGCACCTCCATCCTTGATCTCATTCACTGCTGGAGCCTCTTCTTTGGGTGGTTCAGATGTTTGAGGCAATGCTGCAGAATCTTCATGTTTCCCTTTCTCTGGACTCTCATTCCCCTTTCCTTCAGATTTTAGAGGTAACATACCAGAATCCTCAGTCTTCTTTTCCTCTGTGTCCTGTTCCTTGTTTCCTTCAAAAGTCGGAGGCAACATTTCAGAATCGGGTTTTTCTTTGTCACCTTTGTCTGCTTCTTTCTGTTCCTCAACCATTGGTGCAGCAGCTTCAGTTTGAGCAGCCTTCTCCATGCTTTTCTCCTGCTGTCCCTCTATCATCTCCGTGGACTCTTTCTGTGCTTTGCCTTCACTGGCATCTTCCTTGGCCTTGTCCACATTACCTTCAGCCTCCTCCATTTCTGCACCAGCAGATTCTTTTGCTTCATTAGCTGCCTCATTTTCTTCACCTTTTTCATCTTTTGCCCCTTTTTTACCACTTGATTTCCTTTCTTTCTTTTTGGGTTTCTCGCCTTCAGGAGTCTCCGTAGCTTTAGCTTTAGCACTGAGCCTTGCAGATCTCCGAGGGGTATCACCTATTTTGTTATCAATCAAGAAGAGCAAGAGGTGGTTCATATGTGTGTATGTGTCATACATGTAACGTCAGTTTGTGTGTGTGTGTGTGTGTGTGTGTGTGCATGGGCATATGTATGTGAGTGGCAGAGAGAAAGAGAAAGGGATGAAACCAGTTCCCCAGTCAAAATCAGATGCAGGCGGCCCTCCAGGGTGAGCACGAAGGTACTGATCCAACTGCCGCTTATTAGCAATCTCTTCGCCTGTTGGCGAGATGAAAACTATCTCATTACGCTTAGGTGTTCCCCCCTTCTTTGGTGTAAACTGTCCATAGCACAGACAGAAAAGATAATAAGAAGATTGTAATGAAACAAAAATGTAACATATGGTAGTAAGAAATTCATAGTTAATACAACTTCTCCACGGGCACAAGCATGCTAGGAGTAGTACAGAT